AAGTCTTAGGCGGAGACAACTGCTACCCTCCACCGAAATGCCTGGCTTCTCCCTCGGGTGGCCGCCATAACCCAAAATACGCGGGGAGTGAAGGGATGTGCTGCAAAGCAGGCTAAAAATAGGCATTTTAATTCATTAAATGTGAATTGGAGGGGACAGCTCAGCACGTTGCTGGGTGAACGTCTGCACGTGGCAAACACCCCGAAACTCCCCGTGCCTCTACCAAACCCCAGGTATCGGTCACCTGCCGGCAAATATTTCTGGGGCTCCCCCCGGCAGGACGCACACACGAATACCAAGGAGACAGGAGATGCTTTGGACTCTGAGCCGTTGTATTTTTGTTTTTAATTAAATAAGCCTGACCGTCTTGCAGCAGGCGCCGAGGTTCGCAGTCACACTCACACGAGGCGAGTGCAGCCCCGGCACCGGCCGCGCTCCAACGGGGGTCAAGGGGGGTTTTAGCCCGTTGGTCCCCAGGGGCTCTCCAAGGGGCACGTGGTGGTCTCCGGCCGAAATCTGGCCTCTGCTGCCTCAGCTCTGGCTGTCTCTCTGTTTCTTTGCAGTACATTGTGCTGCTCTGATTTTTGGGCTTAGCTCCTTAACTGCCTCCCCCTCTTTTCCACATAATAAATAAATAAATTCACCTGGTGACCCTGGTATGTAAACACACAGAGAAAAAGAAAAAAAAGGGAAAAAACAAAGCCCAAACCCCCCAAACCAATTTTGAAGAGCACCAAGCCACAAAGTCACCTCATTTCATTGCAGCCCGAGTGCCGGCCGGCGCTCCACGGGCGACTCCTGCCCCGGCACGCGTCCGGGGCAGTTCCCAGTCCATGTTGGTGTATGAAGGCACTAAACCAGTAAGGCCTCTGGGGTCCAGGTCCTTGCTGGAACTGCGGGGGGTGTGTGTGTGTGTGTGTGTCTCGTCCTTGCCTTGTCCTAGCTGCAGGGACAATGCGGAGGTGCTAAGCCCCGTCACCCTCCACTCACCGTCCTCTTCCTCAGTGCAGCCCCCGAGATGGGGAGGCGGCCCCAGCACCGAACTCCCCGCCACCCCTCACCCTTGCGATTTCCCCATTCCCGAAGAAATTGTGTAATTCAGGCTCTGCAGGACCCCGAGGTCGGCTCTGCTGGGATGCTCTGGTTCCCGGGGCTGCCGCTTTCCACCTGGCAGCAGCAAGGAGCATCTCTGGGAGCGGGGACGCCCAGGTCTCCTCCGGGCCGGCTGGGAGCACGGCTGCAGCCCCTCGTTCAC